AAAAAAAAGAAGTGGTGAGGAGCCAGAAATGCAGGCCGACCAATGGGCAGCCCCACAATCCACAGCAACCTGTAGGTCATGTTCCCAGAGGCTTGGATGACTTGATTTGTAAGACAAAAGAATGTGGCAGCCATCCATACATGTGACCATACTCATGAATGGGGATAAGATGTCATCTGAAAGCAGGAATGGGAACGTGCAGGCTTGTCTGTTTTGGTCTGTTTTCCTGGAACTCAATCTTATYTTCAATTACACTAGGGAAACTGAGGCAATGTGCCAGATTTTAATGATTATTATTATTTTTAAATGTTATTCACTTTTTAAAAAATATTCTTAGTCATAGATGGACACAATACCTWTATTTTCTTTATTTTTATGTAGTGCTAGGGAGTGAACCCAATGTCTCACAATACTAGGCAAGCATGCTACCACCGAGGTGTGTCTCCAGCCCAAGTTATTCACTTTTAAAAAATASTTTTATTTATTTATTTTTGTGTGGTGTTGAGGATGGAACCTAGTGCCTCGGTGTGCTAGGCAAGCTCTATACCATTGAGCTACAACCCCAGCCCCTATTATTTTTTTTTAAACCAGACTTGTCCAGTTCACATACACTGTGGGAAAAAAAGAAAAACAAACCAGGGTGTCCTGGATTTAAAGTTATCTCTGCATCTTGATTTCATCAGAACACTGGGGTGTGCACTAGGTAATGAGGACCCTCCCCTCCCTTATTTTCTATTGCTACGAAGCTGACATAATCTTTGGCTAGTTATGTAAGGAGTGGCTTAAAACAACCAACAAATAAAAAAAGCACAGGGTTCCTTGTATATTTATGTATMCAGTGAAAGAGAATGAGTGAAGGCAACAGACCTAATATCCAGGATATTATTCATTAATTCAACAAATATTTATTCAGAACTTACCATGTGTCTGGCACTGTTCACAACATTGGAAACACAGTGGTGAACAAATACCGCATATTCACAGAGCTCATATGCTAACAGGGGAGACAGGCTCACAATAAACCAATCAAACTTAATATCCTATAGTGGCAAGGCTATAAGAC